GCAACTAAACGTGCTATATGGACGTCCATGTTGCATATTTACAAAATTGAAGGCGCTCTAGGGATTTATACTCTTGCAATAAGAAAAGTCTCCGTTTCCGTTTCACAATGCAACTGAATGTCACTTTGTTGAGTAAAAAATGGCCATACTTTAACGAAAGCAAACCAATTCCCTTTATTTTATAAAATCAAAATTGAGTAACGGGCAGTTTTAAGCTTGTCTATTGGCATATTTCTCTCTCAAAAAATCTATTGTTTGGAGAAAATGATTAGTAGCAAAAACAGCACAAAAAGTTCATACTTTATATTAGACCTTAGGGTCAGATGAAACTTCGAACCTTTTTTTTTTTTCATACAAAGTCAATGTCACTTGCTTTTCTGATACTGAACACCGCCGAAATTATAGGAGCTGGGTAGACGCATCGAAATGAAACAACCTTCTTTTCTAGGACCTCCTTTCTTAGATTTTTCCTTTCCTTCCTTTCTTTCTTTCTTTCTTTTTACGAAAAGTCACTTATTCTCAGTGGTAATTGTCACAAACTAGTTGGCAACATTGGTTTTTCTTGGAATGCCTATATAGGCAAGGTATGGACATGCAATTTCACAGAAGCTTTAGAGCCCAGAGGAGCAGCCAACCTTTTCGAACGAAATATTTGAAAGAGAGTTGTTGCCAACCTTCAAATTCAGATAAGAATATTGGGAGATAGCCGCCAAATTTTACGTTCAAATGAGAGATAAAGAATAGCAGTGTCTTGCTGAGATGATTGAAACTTATGAAAAGTCCGAGAAAAACATTAAATTGAATCGCATCCTTTGATCCTTGATTTCGATAAAAACGTGATTTTACAAATAACAACGAATGATTTTAAATCGATGGTCAGCTACCCATTTAAACCCTACACAGTAAGAATAAGAGACGAAATTTTCTCTAAATATGGGAAGTAGCTCACGGCGTAGCCCAAAAGTGCGGTTGATATTTTTTGCTTAGTTTTTCTTTGGGTTACATTGACCAAATCTTTGCCGGTTAAACGTTGTCAACCTCATTAGATTTAGGCACAAACCGCCAGTTGAACCACCGGTGGATATCAAGAGAAAAATGAGTACATTCTAGTTAAGCAGGACACTTTTTTCATACCCAGGTGTCAGAGTAACCTACGATTTCGGTCGATTTAACCGAATATTTGGCCGATCAACAAAATCCTGATAGTTGGTTTGACCGAGAAAAAAGTAACTCAAAATAATCCAAAGTAAGCATGAACACGGACTTTTTTAATAGCACAACTTTATTATTCACGAAAGCATCCGTGAAGTCTCGGTGGATTTTCGAACCTACAGAGCTGTGCAAACTATCCCTACACTGATTAAAATATTTGTATTTTTGTGTTACTTTTGGTTAAAAAAGGAAGTAAAACATGAGCCGACAACATTTTTTATTGATTTCAGTACATTTTGCGGTGGATTTTGCGTAAAATACAATGACGAGACAGGGGAACCCCAGAGTCAACCAAGGTCTTGGGTTCTACTGTGCTTTAATTCCCGTATTATGACCAAACTTTTGCGTTGAGTTTGCTCTAGTTTTCCTCAAATTTTCCTCGATTTTTCCAAAAAAGTTAGCCATCACTCTTCTTGGTTCGAGCAACTGATATTGCAGGGTGTCTACTATAACAGGCGGGCCAAAAATCAGTACTTTTACAATACTTTTACAGTGTTTTTTCAGTACATTCCCAAAAAATTCAGTACCTCCTCAACAGAAAAATTCAGTACTTTTTCAGTACCTCCATTTGACGAAATTCGAAAAAATTCAAAAATTTGAATATCTCGCTCAAATTGAGACAAAAAGGACCGAAAAATGAAACAAATTCCGGACCTTTTGCGGAATGTCTGCACTTTTTCAGTACTTCCGGACCCCTCTTAAAAAATCGGTACTATTTCCGGACTTTCCGGAAATACAGTACTTGTAGACACCCTGGAAATTGTCCAAATGAGTATGATCTGGCAAGAGTGACTTGGGAGAGCGAAGCTAAGGAGTCGAGAGAGGAGGTGGCATTAATCAAAAGTGGTAGTTAGTACGAATGCAGTCAGAGCCGTGGAGACTTCACTTGACATTTGCCGCTAATTCGATTTCAAAAGGCCACTGGCTCCGTTTGATATGGGCGCGCCGGGACCCGCCCGCAACTCCGCGGCGCGACCGAAAGGTGCATCGCTCCGCCACCTTGAAGCCGCGGGGCGCCCACCGCGCCCACTCAAACTTCTTCTCCGGGCAACTTCACTTCATAGAAATTCACCACTCCGAGTGACCGTGGGCATGCGACCAAGCGTGCCTGCACTTTGAACGATTTCAGTTTCGAGAAGAAAACCAGATTAGGAGGATATAAGCGGGTTCTTCCGAATAGATTCGGTTTGTGTGGGCCAGAATTGGACCGCATTAAACAGAAATGAACCAAGCCACATCAGCTATTGCCAGATTTAACAGGGGAATCTGATTTTTTACGAGAGAACGATTGTGCGGATTCCTTTGACAATTTTAAGGAATTTGCTTTGTATTATGGAGAAACTTCGTAGAAATTTGCACAAAAATCCGCACAACCGTTTTCATGTAAAAAAATAAATTGCCCAATTAAATTTGGCAATAGCTGATGTGGCTTGCTTCCTTTCTGTTTCACGCGGTCCAATTGGTGGTGCCTTGAGGATCCCGTGAATTTATGGAGTACCAATAGACCACTAGACAAGGCACGAACTTAAGGATTCTGATACATGTTTGTTAACCAGAATTTCACTTAAAACATGATTCGCGCAACGAAACTTACTGAAACCAACTCCTAATGGAGATGGTAACATTTTTATTTCACATTGGTTACGAGGAATTTGAACTGTCCGCTCACAAGAAACTCAAAGCTCTACGTGAGTCAAATCGCGCACTACAACGGTTTCAGCAAGCTTCTCAATCGAGCAATGTTCATTTCCCACCATGTGCTTTTCAAACTATAAGTAATTTGCTATAGCTGAGCCAAAGCGTCAAGATTGAGGATGTGCTTTTCAAACTATAAGTAATTTGCTATAGCTGAGCCAAAGCGTCAAGATTGAGGTTGCCAGATTTTTTTATCGCAGAGATGTTCGTGATAACGTTTAGCGTGCGATGTGAATCACGTAGAGCATTGAGTTTTCATGAGCGGGTGGTCTGAATTCACGCATCAAGAATCATTAAATATCTTCGTAAGGAGTTAATTTCGGTAAATTTTGTTGTTTGCATCGTGTTTTACGTGAAATATTGGTTTAGAAACATGTATCAGAATGCTGAAGTTCGTATCTTATCTAATGGTCCATTGCGGTGGTGCCTCATTTTCGCCAAAATAGTCAGTGAGGCGACATTGCTCCTAAATGTCACCACAAATGATCAAATCAAGCGTTACCCAAAATGTCAAATCAAGAAGTGTTATGTTCTTACGTCGATCGAATTATGAGTCTTTTTCTGTCACTTGACGATTAAACCTTATTATTAGATGCCCGAGCCGGGTCAAATTGACCCGAGGCCTCCTTAAAATACCAGCTTCGCGGGTTATAAAGAACCGGTACGTACAAGCTTTGGATATACGTCTACAAATACATCCTTGAAAAAAGTAAAATTGAGTGTCAAAACAGCCAATGACAGGAGACACGTGTTCGGACCTCGTTTTTTTATTTTCATTCATAATCTGAGCAACACCTCATTGGCATCATAGATTGGAGCATTGCGAGTTCACGTCTCGTGCCGCCATCGCGCCTTCAATTTTGTAGACGCAACACGGACATCCATCAAGCACGAATAGTTGTATCTCTGCGCCGTCATCGACGCTCAACCTTTTCCTTGCGCAATTTCCGTATTGTGTTGGTTTCGTTTGCCTTATTTTGTAGTGATGCTTCAGGGCTGCGTGAGCAACCCAGCCAAAAATCAGAGAGACGTAATCGGGCTCTGTTCTTTTACTTTTCTTTCGAGTCTGAGTGACAACTCATTGGCAGCACTGGGCGGAATATATTGAATTGGAAAGAAGGCGTTGAACTCGTGAGATATTGAGTTTTACAGGAATAAAACTTCAAACCTCTTTTTCTCTTCTTGATCTCTCTTTGACTTGGTTCCGTCCTATTAAGGTGGTACTCACAGTCATTACTTAAACAGCTTCTTATCTCAGGAAGCCCAAAAGGCTTCTGCAGGAATCCCTTAACGCAGCATCATAAGCAGGACAATTTCTACTGATTTTGAGTAAGATTCATCAGTTTGCATTGAGAAGTAGACCCTTGTAGGAGTAAATACAATAATTTGCCACTGCAAAAAATATGAGCTCCAAAGGAAAATGTTTTTACAATTTTGACGAGTTTTAAGGTGAGTTAAAACCTATCTTGACAATTGTTGAATGTAAAGTATAAAATTTAAAACCGTACTTTAAATTTTTTGCGGATCATATTATTCTCTTAACTCATATATGCCCAAAACTATTTTTTTTTTTTTTTTTTTTTTTTTTTTTTTTTTTTTTTTTTTATTTACTTGCTGTTTTTGACGTTATGTAGACAGGGTAAAGACGTTTTGAGGCACAACAAAAATAAAATAGGCTTCGCTATATCCCAGACATGGATTATCCTGTGTTGAACACATGAAATTCCCTAATTTACACTAACACTAAGAGTCAAAAACTGCGATGAGTCGTTAACGAGCCATGGGCATATATGGGTTAAAGGGATCTATTTTCAAACTAAAACAGATGAATTCTACTCAAGTTCCGTGAAAATTATCCTTCTCATGATGCTATACATTAAGACTGTCCTTAAACGTTCCCTTAATCATAATGTAAACCACAGAGGAGCTTTCCAAGGAAAATAGCTGTTTAAATAACAACTATGAATACGACCTTTAAACTCGGTCCATTCCTTGCTCAGAAAAATTGTCCTACGATTTATTCATATTACGCTCAAGTTTGAAAGTCCAATTGAACTTTGGAAACTAAGTTTGTCGTGGGTTCTTTGTTTCAGGTGGAGCTGACGGGCCGGCGTTTCGAGTGATTTTGTCGCGATTAACGAGTTAGAAAGTTTAACAAATTATGCTCGCCGACGAAACAAGGAAGACCTCCGGACCGGGAGGAAAAATACGGGCAGCTCGTGATTAACATCCCTCTTTAAAACACAAAGCCCACCTGGAGGAAATATTACCCCCGTAATATTATATAATCAAGATAAAAGTCCGCGACTTATCCTCAGTTTAATCATGTTTTTGGCGCAATACGCTCCCGCGCTTGGGAACCTCTTCATCCCGGCGAAATTAAGCCTCTTGAGGGACTCCCACCCTCATTTTTAATTCCCTCTATCCTCCGTTGGGCTCGAGAATGGGCACGCAGCAACCGAGGCCGAGGAACCTCTCCATCACAATCAGCTCGGATCTCGTCGCCGAAAGTTCGGGAATAAGTTTTCGGGGTAGCTCCGTCTGGCAGAGCTAATTTGCTGCAATAATAAAGCGCCTTCATGGAAGCCTCGAACGAGCAGAAAAATGTAGATTTTCGAACTTGATCCGTCTGCGTTTTCGGAAAAACTACGAATAAAATGAAGAATTTCCGTACTACGATCGAACATCCGTCTCGATAGACGAGGTGTGGAAAATTACAGAATTTAAGGTATGCAAACGAGCATTTGTCTGAGTGATTTATTATGGATATTATCGAATTAACAGGGAAACTTTGAAAACAGTTCGGGTTGCATTTGATATAGCTCAACTTGCATTAGAATTATTTTCGCATGCAGCTTACTGCTGTTCTTTACATATTGTAACTTTAACTACGTTTAAAGTTCAAAATGATGATTTGAATCAAAGATCGTCGAAATTTACATTCTGAAAATCATTCGAATTATACCTGCAAATAAATTTTGTGCATGGATGCAGAGTGAACTTATTCACAACGTCTAAATCATAAAAGTAGTCGCAAAATGCGGAGAGTATAGTTTCAACCAAGAATCTCATAAAATATGCATCTATTGAATGATTTTTGGTCGCCGTTACGATTTAAAACTCAGTCCAAGCAGCAACAATGAAACGGGAGTACGCCAGTTTGAAAAGGGGTTAAATCTTACGAATCGAAATAAGGTCTAGAAAACCGGTTTCGCGGTGCGTAAAACCAAACTAGGCGTTGAATATTGTCGAATTAAAATCCGAAAATCGAACCGACGACGACGATCATCGAAAACCGGCGGTGAAGTGCGCGGAATCGAAGCAAACCGGTTTCGGGGTGCGAAAAATCCTACGAGTTCAACGATGACAAATTAAAATTCGGTATTGCGGGAAAGCGATATTCCGACAACGCTCCATAGGAAACCGGTTGTGAAAAGCTAGAAGTGCGATGGAACCGGAGTGGAACGCATCCTTGACCGGTCCAGGTCTAGGGCTGGGGGCGAGCCCCATCCGGGGTCTGATGATGGATGTGAACCTGACGCAGAAAGAGGTCATGGACGAGATCATCGCCGGCTTCTCCGAGGAGCAGTTCCGACTCCGCGAGCCTCGCTTCATCCTCCTTGTCGCCTGCTACGCCCCCCTCTTCATCGTGGCCATCACCGCCAATACCGTCGTCATCGCCGTCTTCTTCAAGTTCCACTACATGCGAAGGTAACCAGAATCCATCCAATTTACCAGAAACACTGAAGAAAAAACTTACGGGCTAAATAGACATACCGTCCACGTTCCGGGCTCTGAGGCCAAAAGACCCGGGTGCTGGAGCCGTAGCTTCGATTGCTGCGCCAGAACTTCCGGCCTCCGAGTTCGGAACGTGGACGGTATGTCTATATGGCCCGTTAGTACGGCTTCCACGGTCAGGGTTTTTTTTTCAGTGAAGGAACCTAGTTTTTTATGAAATCGAGAGGTTTGCCCCCGACCTAAAATTCTGCTTTTCCTAAAATCGAGGAGACGTTACAGAGAGACAAATTTCTACCTTAGGAGAAGATTTTACTTTCAGAACTCCGACATTCAACGGTTGAACTACCTTACCTACCGTAGACAGCTAGTTAGCAACGTGTGCTAGTTAGTAAACATGCTTTGGCGCATTACGTTATCCGAAGCTCATTATCCACCTGGTAGGTAGGTCAACAGCCGAAAGAAAAGTGATGACTGTTGATGCCTTATAATTGTCCTTGGGGAAGTTTTGAGCCTCCGAAAGTAAAATTTTACATTTGTCACCAAGACTTTAGTGGAAGTCATCTGTTTGCGTCTGGAACTTTATGACAACACCTGATATGATATGGTCGTGTACAGAGAAAAACAGATGACAGGTTGACGAAAAAGGTCTTGGATTGGGTCCTTCTTGCAAGAGTGAAGGGAAGGTATTTAATCCGGAAGGTTCCAGTGCAGGATACCAACAGATGTACGGTTAAATAGAAAACAGTATGTTGATTATTGAATTGATATAATAAAGCGATAGGCAAAGAAGTTAGAAAGAAAATATAGAGTGATCCTATTAAAGGGACCGGGTGATTGCAATTGAAAAAGGAGGTAAGTAATAGACGTACCACAAAGGCAATCCACGAAAGACCCTACAGTTAGTCCAACCAAGTTTCCCCCCCCCCCCAAGTTTATGAAAACCTTCCGTTTCAACCTATGTGTACAAACCATTTTCTATTGTCTTCTTTGTCTACTGCTTTGCCTATCAATTTCAAAAATCAACCCGCAGAGGCGATTTGAGAGTGGAAAGCGCCAAGGGCGCCCAAGGGGTGCTATGAAGCGACAAAATATGTATTTACAAGGGGGGGTTTCCCGTAGCCCGATCCCCAGAGGGCACGTCGCGCCATACGAGGCCCGTGAGTCGATCTAAATGCTCATTTCCGGACTATCTCCTATCGATGGCCGCAAAAATGATTAAAATCGGCCCGGTGCATCTTTAGAACGAACTGTGACGAAAAAGAAAAAAATTACATGGTTCACAGACACATTCACAACTTTATCACGCAATATGAAATAACCTGGGTCAGATTTCCAAAAACTGAAAACGGAATGGACTGATTTCTACGGAATGGTAACAGCGAACCAAAATTTAAAGTACGTTTTCCCCCAAATTCTCTATCTATTGTGCGTGAATTTAAGAATGTTCGTAAACAGACAATTTTTGAAATTTTGAGTGCTTTTTGCGCTCAATGATATCGAGATCTCTCTACTACGCGGCACTATAGTTATCCCATTTTATTTCGTTTCCCTTTTTGGACCGTTTTTCTTGGCTTCGTCACATTTTACATTGAAATATTTGGTCAAACAGTTTCAGAAGACATGGAGACGATTTGCACTATCTCAATAAAATACAGTAAATAACATAGCACTGGGACTCATTCAATCTAATCCCTTAATTTTTAGATGATAGAGGAACCTATAGCCGAACGCCGAAAAAGAAAGATTTCTCGTAAAATTTGGCAAAAATGGAAGGGTCTGTAACAAGTGGGAAGTCATACAGTGATAGGTGGTGGGGCTTTGGACTAAATGAATGGCGAAGGATTGCCGGAATAGAGCAAATTTAGTCACTGGGCCGGGGTCATTTTATTCGCACAGCCTCCTCGCCGCCCTCGTGAAAATGTATGGAATTTTTCTTTTGCTGTATTCAGTGTTGCCAAATTATTCTACTAGCGTTTCTTATGAATTCCACTGAAAATCAGCTTAAACTCGTGAAAAATCAGCCGAAAAACAAGTTAACCCTTTTAGTCACCGTATCCATAATACTGTTCGATCGTTTAATGGAGTCTTATGCGAAATCGCATTTCCTGTACTGTGATTGGGAGTAACACTATGTTTCGACCGTTTTACTCACTGGCGTGATGAACAATATGTTTATCGAACAGGAACAAGTTTGAAATACTACCTTCTCAAGCTGCTTATTTATCAGTCATACGTAGACCGTTAAAACGCTTCAAAAATTTCTTATCATCATCAGGAGAAAAAATAGCGTTGAAGTGATTTTTCAGCGCACTTTAAAAAACAATGATTAGACAGTTGATCGATGAATTGATAAATTCTGGATTTTGGGACACCTTAAGAATTTCTGAGCATCACATCGCGCTTTAGTACATCAGGTATAGTTTGTACACTAAATTTGACCTAATAGCACTATGAAATAACTCCAAAATAAAGTACTTTTCGCGTAAGTATCGCAAATCTTCTTCTTCTTCTTCTTCTTCTTCTTTTTAAACACTTTTTTGAGGTCCAATCTTATGTGATTCAATCCTATGTAATTGCATTTAAAACAATATATTTTCAGTATGGGGATAAATGATTAGTCATTTAATAATTGACTACAATTACTTGTTAACCAATCAAACACAATTTAAAATGTAGCTTCTAAGACTGTACAAAAGTTACCAGCTTTCTAAAACTTTGGACTACAGAAAGTAAGATTGTTTCTTTAAATCTCAAAAAAGTTAGTGCGAAACCAAATTACAGCAGCCGAAAAAGTGAAAAAAAAACCCTCGATGTGCAAAAATGTTTGCCTTTTGATATGCAATATGCCATATTCATCCGAGACGTACTTTCAAAGCTATTTCAAAATGGTTATCGGTCAAATTTCGTGTACAAATACCCATATCCCAAGATGATATGATGCTTAGAAATACTTCAGAAGCTTCCTAAAATCCAAGAATTATGAAGGGATCAATTGACTCCAAAGTTAAAAATATCCAACCTAAGGCACGAAATTAACTTTTAGGTCAACTGTTCACTTTTCCTGAATAGTTAATGCGAGGTCTTCAAAACAAGTCTTCTTTGGCAACGAAGGGTAAACTCCCGAGTGTAGGTGGAGAAACGTTTCATTTATTCGCAAAATTTGACAACCGCGGTCGAGTGGCCACGTCACATCACGACAGCGGGCCAGTGCGGGGGACGTCAGCCGGCCAATCTTGTCAAGTGGCCCATCCATCAATTCCATTTTCGTCCGCGAAATTAGCACCCCTCCGACCCTCCATTACATCGAACTTCGATCGGTCGATTTCAAAAATCCATCACCCTCGGGACACGAGAATCGAAATTGTCCGATGCATCGACGCTAGTTGAATCGGTGCTGATGACGTATTTGGCGCGCGCGGAGGAGCTGAAATCATTCCAGCCTGACTTTACCTTTCAGATCTGTAGCCGTGGGGGCTACTCTTGACTGATTAAGTGTGACGTCAGCGATTTCAAGTGAACACTCACCGATACTTACCGAGGAAACGACTCCTTCGGGTAACAGAGGAGCTTACCTGTTGCGACCGTTTCGGTATGGTTCGGTTTATGGCCTCCTCCATGCATGAGGCTGTCTTTATTTACGGTTGAAATGAGGAGTTCGTATTTGAAAAACTGATCAGAACTCAATAAAGAGAAATTTTTCTGATCTTGGTGGTTGCATATAATTGGACAGCGTTCAGTGGGAAGGAACTAGGTCCATTGCGGTGTTTTCAAAATCGTGCAATTTTTTCTGTACCGTAAAGAAAACTGATAAGTGATGGAGTCCTTGCGTAGCGAGGTGAAGGGGGAAAGAGAAAGGGAGCGAGAGCAAAAAAGGAGAGAAAAACAGAAAGAATACTAAAGCGTAGGCCCAAATACTAGTAAGAAGGAAGATATAGTAGTGCTGGGCCCTAACCATACTAAAAAGGAATTCAAGCCAGAAATTTCGAAAGATTTCTAAAAGCTTTTTGCTCTCTGTTTAGCACTGAAATATGATAGAGTTCCTCAGTTGAATCTAATTTTTGGAACATTTGGCTTTCGGCCCCTTAGGATAGTGAGACTGAAGCATTTTCCAATCATTATGCAGCAAGAAGGATACTCCGGACACAAACTCAAGGTTATTACACCTTTTCTAAACTTTATTTTTGATACCTGATCGTATCTAACATTAAGGGCATGCTTTGCAAACTTGGCTGCGAACAATGGCTTGTTCTCTTCTATGGAGCGAGCTTTCTGGACGCTGACTACGTGACAAAAACGCAGATGCAAGAAAAAGGTGGGTTATTCTCGGCACCTGCAGCTGAAATTTATGACCCCGGAATTGAATTGAAGCGGGAGCATTAACTACAAGATGCGCTTAAACACACCTTTTCTTACGGTCAGGCTCTTATACTCTGTTCTTCGTTGCCTTCCCTCTCATACTTTCCCTTACCCTACCTCCCCCTCCGCACGATTTTGTGATTTTATATCAACGAACAGGTAATTACCCGGAAATACTCTCGATGCTCCTTGTCTTTTTACTTCTTCCTTGATCGATAAACTTACGAGTCTAATTGCCCGTGAATTCCTTGCCAATTATTACGATACGAGCAAATGGCTCATTTAAAGTTTCAGATTTCCGTAAATGTTTCCAATTAAGTATGCGACTCATTAAGTAGCGAACCTTATTGGGGGACAGACTTCGGAGACTACTTAATGCTTCGGAATGCGCCTTAAAAACGGTGTGGCCAGAACCAAAAGTAATTAAATTCTTTAAGGAACCTATAGCCACCACACTAAAAAATGGTTAAATGGCGAGAGTCCATTCTGCTTGAAAAATCTAAGGTATGAACTGCTCGTACGTACCGTCTGGCTTTCGAGGCGTCTATGTTTTGGAGGCTGCGATAGGATTGAGCGAATGCCCCCTTTTTTACCTTTTTTAGGATGCATAAGATTAC